TCTTTAAAATCTAGATTTTACCACGAAAAAATAAAATGAAAGAACTCCATTATAAAAAGATATATTATTTTAGAATTATTTTAAATTCCAATCTTAGAAATGTGTCATTTCTCATTTAATCATATTCACTGTCAATGTTTTGCAATGTATTTATGAGCCTCTGGGGATTATATATATTTGTCACCAGACAATGGCAATTTTAAATTACAGTTGAATACATGATTAATTTTATTTAAGGATTGTAAGACTTATTCGGAATCTCTAGTATTTATTTGTCGCCATGAATTGGAATATCTGAAATCGCATCCATGTTTCTGAGCATTTACCATTTTTTTTTGTAGTTTACAAAAAGAGTTATTGTCTGGTTAAAGAATCTTTATTTCGATATTAATCAAAATCTGAATTGATGGCATCTCTGGCAAGGTCGTTGAGACCTTTTCAAATTAAACTTCAAAACTAAGTCTGTGTGCACTGCTATCAAGTAAAGACTTAAATGCAGTTTTATGGTGATATATACCAGTATTGTTACAGGTTTTGATCAGTTGGTTACGACCCCTCGGTACACAATTTTTGTCTTTGAAGCAAATTGTGACATTTTCAGCCGAAACAGGACGACGACATCAACCTTACTTTTATTTAAGATTGATTTGTTTGTGTTATAACATAATCAAATATAGATTATGTATACAACTATTATAAACGAAATACTTTAGGCGCTCTGAGACTAACACGTCGTAATTCTTATTAAAGAAATGAAATGTGGTTTAACACCCTACTGTTCTGCTCCGACTGGGCTAATGTGTGTGCTATAAGAGAAAGTTTGCCTGGACAGAGCCGCCACGGCCAACTTGTATACAGCATTCCAACTGGAAAGGGAAATGAAATGAAATGGAGGTTAATGTCCTACTGTTCTGCTCCTAACCTGGGCTAATGAAGACGGGCATACGCCATACAGTGTGCTATGATGGAAATTTTGCCCGGACAGCGGCACTACGGCCTACTCTTATATCGAATTCCAACTGCCAAGGGATCTTTTACGTGCACGCCAATGTGTACACGGGACCTCGGTTTTTCGTCCCATCCGAACGACTAGACAGCTTTCCTTGTCAGCCCCTCCGTCCTGCATCACTGACAAGGGAGAACCACGCCGGAAAATCTGGATGAACTTTCTCGGCCAATGCAGGGATCGAACACCCGACCTCCAGGCTAGCGAGCTAGCGTCTTACCCACTTAGCCACGTGATCCCCAACTGGAAAGGGATCTTTAACGTACATGCCAATGTGTACACAGGACCTCGGTTTTTCGTCCCATCTGAACGACTTTTCGTTGTACCTTGCCAGGCCCTCGGTCCTGCACCACTAACAAGGTGGAACAACGCCGGAAAATTCCGGCCGTTGCTCTCAATTCTCATTAAAGATTATTATGTGTGTTATAACAATACCACTGTTATCAATGGGATACTTCAAACATTTATTAAATATTATGGTTGCGTGTACAATGGGAGGGGGGATTTTGCCTGGACAGCGGCATTATGTCCTACTCTTCATTGGTTTTTAATGTTATAATCTGGACATGAATAAACAAATTTCGGCCATATGTAAAAGTATTAATTTTCAGGTTTATAATATTGGAACATTTAGATCTTTCATTGATAGTGACACGACTAAAATGTTAGTAAACACTATGGTTACATCAAGACTCGACTACTGTAATTCATTTTTGTACAATCTACCTCCGAATAAAATTAAACGACTTCAGAAACTTCAAAATAAAGCAGCCCGGGTCATAACCAAGACTAAACCAAATGAACATATGACATCAATTCTGAAAGATCTCCATTGGCTTCCAGTCCGTCAACGTATCAATTTTAAAATATTGTCTATTACGTATTCTGCTCTAAATGACGATTCTTCACCCCAATACCTTGGAGACCTTCTCAACACCAATAAAACTTGCAGAACCCTTTGATCACAATCAGACAACCTCTTGATTAAGCCTTTTTCAAAAACCAACTCCGGTGATAGATCTTTCACAGCCGGTGTTCCGAAGTTATGGAATTCAATATCAAACGAAACCAAAAGCGCAAAATGTCCCTGATAGCACAGATCACACCTTGTATCATGTTAAAGTACATATCATACAGTGTAGCAATAGTCTGTGTGGGTTAATATGTCGTGCGCGGAGAAAGGGGAAGCTTTATGAGGTCCACAGGGAAATATTTTTCAACTTAACAGAATTATGAGTACAATGTCTTTAAGCGGGTAGGAATACTGCTTCTCTAATCAGCAACAAATTTAACATGGTAGGTTGGGAGAAGGGGGGGGGGGCGTAATCTTAAAATAAAATACGTTGGAATCTTGAAAAGCAGAGTGAACAGGCGCAACAACCCGAAATTCTCCAATATCCAAATGTAGGGATGAAGAGGGGCAGTCTCTAACTCAATATTTTCTATAATATTCGAAATTAAAAACACAAATTAGAATTCAATATTGATCAATTTCAATCAATTATTGATGATGTTATTTTGTCGTGAAACTATAGGATTCTAATATCCAATATATAAGACACAATTCATTTTATAATCAGTACACGAGTTGTGTACCCTGTGGTTTCGGGTGCCATTTTGTCATGAACAAATAAAAACATATCCTACAAAACAATGTGGAAGTAATTAGTGAAGGCTGATTCAGAAAATTCAAAATAATTATTTGAAAAAAACAACCGTATGGAATGGACTAAGGAGGCGTGAACGTTTGTCGTTCAATTTGAACTGTTCGCGTATTTCACCGAACATAATTGATAAGAAATTACAATATGTTTTTAAAAAATTGAATATAAATAACTTAACATACTACATTCATATTATTTAATATGTGCTGCTTTTAGGTCCATTGGTTCTCCCTTGTCAGTGATGCAGGACGGAGGGACTGACAAGGAAAGCTGTCTAGTCGTTCGGATGGGACGAAAAACCGAGGTCCCGTGTACACATTGGCGTGCACGTAAAAGATCCCTTGGCAGTTGGAATTCGATATAAGAGTAGGCCGTAGTGCCGCTGTCCGGGCAAAATTTCCCTCATAGCACACTGTATGGCGTATGCCCGTCTTCATTAGCCCAGGTTAGGAGCAGAACAGTAGGACGTTAAACTCCATTTCATTTCATTTCATTTCATTTTTAGGTCCATTTTCGCCTATTTCTAAGTTAAAACAAATAGAGCCTTACATTCTTTAAGGTTGTGAATAAGTAACGAGATATAAGTCCGTCCCAATAATAGTCTTGTGTGTTTGTGCTTTCTGTGATAGGTTGTCAAAAATCGCACTAAAACATCCAAATGTTGTCTAAAGAGCATGTTCAAGTTTGAACAAATATTCATCTGTCAAAGGTAAGCTGACCCCACAACTCTTCGCTATAAATCCAATATCTGTAACTGAAACTATGGATTTGGTGATTTTTGATTACAGTTCATCTAAAAATACAATAAATGGAAATATATATATCCAGGACACGACATATCGAGCGTCCGTATAGTAGTTTGAGTTTGCTATATTTAATGACTGTTAACAGATTTAATTGACTATATCACTGACAGATAGATCACTACTTCATAGCACAAACCCATCGACATTATATTTGCCCATTTCATAATTCCTGAGATTCACTGCAGCTGTCGGTCGATCACTCATATTGTTATAAGTCTTAATACAGCAACTAGCTGTATCGTGATAATTTCCACAAGATAAATGAACCGTAACAAAAATGGTAATATAACGTTCAATTTTGTTTCTAGTTTCAGTGCACTAAGGCGATATGCGCACATTACAAAATACTGTTACTGAGAGGTGTAGCAATATGCGCACATTACAAAAGCCGGCTTCCTTATATCCTTGGTTAGGGTTCGGATGAGACGTCACATTATCTTAATTCACGACAGATAAATTTTCCACGTACATCTTCCAAGATACAGTAGAATCTATACGAGCAGCCACTCCCCTTCGGCGACATCTCCTTGTAAGCGTCACGATAAATTCACGCCGTAGAAATTCTAATGTTTCATCTTTTTAATCAACGGTCACTCCTCTAACGCGGCCACTATTTTACTAATAAGTTTAACAAAACATCGCCCATTCAACGGTCATTGTTGAATGATAACATCTTGTACTGCGTAGCACCTCCGCTAATACCGTGGCACCCACTGATCAGGTAAAAAGAACTGTGAAAATAACAATAAACCCAGGATTATCTGTTAATTAATCTTTTGTTTTATTAAATGACAAACCCTGAACATTCTCTGATAATAATTGATGTACTAAACGGAATTGAACTATGTTTGGACTGATGTTCCTATTAGAAATTAAACTTTCACAATACTGCAGTGCTCTAAATGACGCATATAGTCTTTAGTGGGCAATTTATAAAAAATTAAAAACATATTAAATGAAGCATTATTATAATAGTTCACGTTTAATAGTAAGTGCAGGAGGACCGCACTACACGCAAAACAAAAATCTACAAGATAAACCTGCGGACAAGACAGAAAATAGACATTGCCCCTAATAAACAAATATCAAATCAAGTGAATGGATCCGGGGGCCAGCCGTAAGCGTCCACTGCGCTGTACAGTCCCGGGTCTGTGGTTACACAGACTTCACTCAAATTTGAAAACAATCAGGAATACAAAAAAGACGTATCAGAAATATTATTAGACTGGCATTTCTATTAGGGATTCCACTTTCACTATATCGTAGTTTGCAAGAGATTTTATAGACTAAAACCAATTTACAAAAATGTAAACACATATCTTTAATCAAAGTAAATTTATAATTCAATGAAGCATTATTGAGAGCTGGACACTGGCGCTATTTTACAGTAACATTAGACAAGAATACACCAGTCACTTTATGATCTAGTAGTCGCGGTGTTATACCAGCTGTGAACTTCTAACTAGTCAACAATAAACTGGTTCTCTATGTATAATTTTAGCTTCACTCACATATGATCGTTGAACAGCCACGAGATCACGTAAATGTACACACATTAGTCGATATGGAATGATTTTCTATGTGATTACTTAATTGATACGAAACTAAAAGATGTATACATAATTCAATAACCATTATTGAAGGGTTTTGTTTAATTTTACGTATTCGGTAAACTTAATTATTATCAACGTGTGGATTTCTAAAAAAAACATAACTGCGTTGTTTTGCACCTACATGTGCACGTGTTGTTCTATTCACGAAAACGAAGTACACTGACGGGGGTAGCAGATGTGCTTGTGTGGTATCAGTGGAATTATCATTATGAAAGGTAAGTAAGTATGTATCATTTTGCTTTTAGTGTTCGACTACAGTTACATGTGTCAGTCAGCGATGAATCCATGATGGTCCTACATGGAATCGTTGAACAATAACACGACTTATTTCTTTCGCTGGATGCACGTTAAGGATCCTTCAGTGGTTAACATTCAGTTATTGTTGTGACAAACGCTGTTACTGGTTGAACAAGAACCAGGTTTGTTTATTTCCTTAGTGTCCATGTTAAAGACCCCTTGGTGCTTGGCATTCAGTTATTTACCAGACGAGCGCTCTTGTCGGTTGTACAAGAACATGGTATCTCTTTCACTAGTTTGCACGTTAAAGATCTATCAGTGTATGACATTCAGTCATTTTCCTGACAAACACTACTGCTTGTTAAAACACCGTTGGTATCATTTTAGCGTTCTAACATTAAATGGTGAAATATATAAGGTTTATTACAATAACCGGTTTTTGTTCCGGATTGTGCTATCAGTACACAGGTGCTCACACTTATCGCGCGTGTAATGGTTAACATTAGGATGTTTTATCTGTTTTCCGACATTAACTATACATATCAAACAGTGAGAGGGAGAGAGGGGGGGGGCGCACAATTGTATTAAAAGATAGGGGAAGAAATGAAATGGGACTTAAAGACCCCTTTTCTGCACCAACCGGGAAATTGATGACGGGCATGCGCCATGTGGTGTTTTATTAGGGAATTGTGGACAGCGGTGTTTCCGCCTACTCTCTACGTTCCCTTGGCAACGTGTACAAGGGACATAAGGTTTTCGCCCCGTTCGAACGATGTTCCTAGCCCTAAAGGCAACCATTTAGTTGCATTTTAGTCACTGGAATTCATGATACATATATGGCGAGACTTTTCATCTAGTGTTCGCTTATCATAATAATTGTATCATTTGCTCTGATAAAGACTATAGAATCTAAGGTGAAACATCCCGAGATATGAACGGTAATTGTATTCAATATTATTGTACCCTGTACATGCAGTTGAATTACGCGATGTCCATTAAAATTGATAAATTTTAATATCAGTCTATCGCCCTTTGAAATCGACACACGTAAAGTTGATATTGTTAACTTCGCAAGAAATAACCTTTATAAATGATAATGTTTGCCATTAACATATTAAAGTCGTCATTTTATATACATAATGTTTATTAGTTTAGAATAATAATCACCTGTATCATTACTATAAGGCCCGGGTTCATAAGTCAATTTTATCAGCTTATCAGTGCTAATGTCCTTTAAAATTAATACACATCAGTCTAATGCCCGTTATAATTGACACACGTCCGTCTAATACCCTTCCAAATTGATATACATCAGTCTAATGCCCTTTAAAATGGTTACACGTCAGTCTACTGCCCTTTAAAATTGATACACTTCAGTTTAATGCCATTTAAAATGGATATACGTCAATTTATGCATAACCCTAATACCAGATTGGAAAAAACTATTTAACCTTATTTAAAAATAGTACGTTTTTCACATTTTTCACGTAACGGAGAATCACTGAACTATGTAATATGATATCATAACTATCTATTGATTTAATAATATATGAATAGCAAAATAATTTTGGCTTGTTTCGAAATATTGATTTTGATTAAATATACTGAATTTGCCTCAAATGCTATATTAAAATCACCAAGCGGTCATGTAATGCTTTGGACAACTTCGTTGCCGATGGATACAGATATAATTTTTAATTTGACGTGATTTGCTTATACAGTTATACAGGGGATGTTCAATTACAGTCCCTGGACTATACATAACAGTGGGTGCTTACGACTGGGCTTTGGTCCATTCACTTGATTTAATTTTTTTTTTATTTCTTGCAATGTTTATGTAGTTTATCTTGTTTGCAGGTTTGTCTTTATATGCGTGTTTTCTTTGCGTGTAGTGCGGTCCCATTGCACTTATTATCGTATACGAGTTTTGAACGTCTAGTTGAATAAGACTCGGTTACTTAGGCACTTACATGTGGTCTATTTATATTTTCAATAATGGATGTTCCCGAAGGGGTCTTTAGCGAGGAATAAAACTGGAAAAAAACACGAGCTTGGCTGGTGGCCCCAATCCTTGACATTTCGGATCCGACTTTGAGCAATTACACACCGAAAATTACACACATGGTAATTCTTGTGTTTAAAGCAAATTCAGACTGCACGGATGCCGTCCATCCTCTCCCCCATTTACGGCAGGTATAATTAGTTGAGTAAGTGGAATCCCTGATTTTTGACCGAATCTTACCTAGTATGGCATATGTTTAAATTTAGACTAATTACATATACAATAATCAATTTGAAAGGAATTATGGGACCTATAGGTTGTTCTCCAATCCAGTTTCAGTAAGGGATACTTATTGATGATGATAAAAAAAATTAGAAAAATTTATTTATATTTATTGCACCGCCTTGTCACGAACTTCTCCAATCTGATTTCAGTAAGTGATTGTTAATGATGATAAAAAAAATAGAAAAAAATTATTTATATTTATTGCACCGTCTTGTCACGAACTTCAGCTTTTATTAAATCTTAATAACGATTTAGGAATCCAGTAATATTTCATTCGAGAAGACGTATTCCTCGTAGCCCTATTAACCATTGAGTTTTGACATTTTTCAGTTCGTATACAAACAGATTGACAACTTCATCTTGTCTCCCAATGCCAAAATGTTCGTTCTTTATGATCAATTATATGACCCGTGAAGTTAATGTTGAACATCAAAGGCGTTAATGTCCAGAAGTTCATCTTATTTGGTAAAAGGGAATCAAAGAATACTCAAGGAAATAGCTTCCAATCAAATGCATTACTGTAATGATTTTTGTGGTTCACCGTTTGTCCTTTAAGCATACGAATTTTCAAAGAGTATGGACTGCTTGTTTCGGCCATTTATATAACATTTGAAAGTCTTTTGAGCCATTGTCAACGCCAATATTGAGAAATTGAAGAGATGTCAGTTCAAAAATGGTTCAATTCCGTTCAGTATTTACAAATATATAAATTGAAAATTTATTTGTCAACTCTCGGCATCCACTGCAGACGAAATGAAATGGGGTTTAACGTCCTACTGTTCTGCTCCTATGCTGGGCTAATAAAGACGGGCATACGCCATACAGTGTGCTATGAGGGACATTTTGCCCGGGCAGCGGCACTATCGCCTACTCTTATATCGAATTCCAACTGCCAAGGGATCTTTTACATGCATTCTAATGTATACACGGGACCTCGGTTTTTCGTCTCATCCGAAGGACTAGACAGCTGTCCTTGCCAGGCCCTCCGTCCTGCATCACTGACAAAAGGGAACCACGCCGGAAAATCTGGATGAACTTTCTCGGCCAATGCAGGGATCGAACACCCGACCTCCACGTGATTCCCCCCCCCCCCCACTGCAGACGATACATATATAGAATATGTCACCATAAGCAAGCGTCCCCTATGATTGTCGATGAATTTTGTTATTTTTTTGATGGGCCTCATTTTAATCGGATTGATTACATGTCGGGGGATTAACTACCGTTGATATTTTGTTTTTGTTTCCTTAACTGAGTACCGTTTAGCGTGGATTAAGCCGTAGAATATTTGACCTATTTTTCAGTTGTTGCAATCTCGGTATTTTTCGAGCACTGTTCTCTCTTTCTAGGGGTTACTTCTTCGGTACTGAAAAGAAAAGTACATTGTATGTCTTAATCATAGATCCAATGGAACGAAAAACCAAGTTCTAGCCTCAACTCATGTACATATTTAAATTCTGATACAGAACAGTTGGAATTAAAATACAAGGGCGATAATCCCGCACGTTCCGATAAAAATCAAATCGTAAACATCGGAATATAAATAACCAGTTACACAATGATATTTACCCATTATAATTAGCTATTAAAGGATTACAATTTTACATTTCTGTTTCCATTATTCAATAATGACTGCCGTTGCTAAGGGGTGGGGTAGTGCGTGGTGGGAGGGCAAGTGTGCTACTTGTTCAAACATGGCGCCTTTTCAACTGTTTTATTTAATTTTGTAGTGCAATAGACGATCAGATCTGGGTGTTTTATTATTGTTTTTGTGTATATGTTACAGTCAATGTCTACAATCAGGCAATGTGTACAATGCCTTTGTAACCCTAACCCCCACCCCAACCCTTACCCGGCAATGTACACATTGACCGGTATATTTCAGGCATTGTACACATTGCCTGATTGTAAACACTGACTGTCACATATATAGACTTGTCTGGATTCATTACTTTATTCGACCAAGCATCTGGTGTTGTACTTTGATTTTAAGATTTAAAAAAAACAACCATCAACAAAACCGTATATTATTCGGTTCGTGTTATGGCACCATCATTGTACTCGCTCACTTTATGTTAAAAACCATAGCTACGTTCCCGTCAATAATTACCACATTCCTTGACAATAAATATAATCACGTCTAATCACCAACCAACTTAGCAGTTTTTTTTACAGTTTGGTAGTTAGCTGTAATGGGTTGAATGTGTAGCTAGTAAATACTAATAGTGAAAGGTACTAAGAGATCAGAGAGATACGGTGGCGCGACATCGTTTCTAATTTTAACTTACAATGTCGGCGTCTTTCAGCCATTGGAACAAACCCAGGTACGACATTGGTGGTACCTCTACCCCCCCCCCCTCCAACCCCCACACCCCACACACAAAACGATAGTATGAGATTCTAGTCTGTTAGCCGAGTAATCGTTGCCCTACACCTACTGTTGTCCTACATTATGTAGGCACGATGGGATAGATTATTTAGCATATTGCCCAGTATTTTAAAGAGATCTTGTGTTTCTAATTTGAGTTTGTTCCACTCTCGGGTGCTTAAAGGACAGAAAGACTCGGAGACCAGCTCAGTTTTACATAGGAATTCTTGAATGTTATTTTTGTTTCGAATAGAGTATATATTAGCAATCGAATTTTCTAAGAGACCACAGAAATTTGGTGGCACGAGACTGTTTCTAACTTT